GGGCTCGGGTTATCAAAATTGACACTGACTACCACCTGCCATCGAGGTACCTGTCAGTGCTCACGCTGGGTGTGCACAGAGGCAGGTGGTGTCTGTTCAGCAAGGGCAGTTCTGTTGCAAATGCACAATCTTTCAAGCGTGTAACATTTTTGGTGTTTCTCTTAGCAAGGGGCACCTTCTTCGTCTCAGCAAATCCCAGTGGAAGGGAGCTCACATGACTAATCCTCTCTGCAAAGGGAAGGACAGAACAGCACTAGGAAACAAAAGAGCTTGGGGTTTTCACATAGAAATGCAGTTCTTGATTCCAGTGTGCTCAAAAGGCTGTCCAGGCAATGGAGGGTGACATGTCCCAGAAACATGTCCCAGTGTTTTCAGCTGGTGCCTCACTGCTGGTGGTGCCCGGGTGTGTGTGTGTTCCTGCTTGGCTCCCTTAGCCTCTCACCAATGTCACATGTGTAGCTCCAGCTAGAAAGTGGGTGGAAATGGAAACAAACATCAGTGGCATAGTGAATCCAGCCAAAATTAAATACAGTACAGACATAGACTGCAGTTACTTGACGTTCATCTTACAGTTGGGTTTGCTCACCTCTCTTTTCTATGGGAATGCCAAAGTCAGGTTTCTCCTGTGGGAGCATGTGGAGACATGGGGAGTGGATACATGTGAAATAGTGCAACAGTCCCTTCCCCCCAATAATTCTTGGCTTTGGATTTTAGATAGACCACAAACCCTTAGCTTATTACAAATAATCCTGATCACTCCCGTAATGATACACTACATTATATACTCTCCTAAATTTAATCATTCAATATCTCACTTCCTTCCCTGTAGGCATGTACTATTATATTTTACACATGGCTTCCAGCTGCTTTTCATTGTGGCCTTCAAATCATATTTCAGTACAGTGCGATCTAAGACCAGTCACTTTATCATTTAAAGTCAACTTCCATCAGAGTCATTTTCTTGACTGGTGAATTTGTTTCAGAAAGATAAGTTTCTCTGTGAGGAGGAAGTCTACCTGAATGAACCTTTATGAAGCAGCATCTGCCAGAGATACTTTGTTCTGAAATGTTGAAAGGCAGCCATGCCTATCTATAGAGTTTAAGAATTAAATGTCCTGAAGGAATGAAAAGAATAAGTCCTCTGGGCATGGAAGGAAATCTGTATCTTCACATTTGATTTGAAAGTAGATGAGAAATCAGGAAGGGGAAGGGAAGTCAGCTCCAGATGGTGCTGGCTGTGGAGGAGGAGGAGGCTGCCCCACCTGTGGCTGGGAGCAGCGGGGAAGGGCATGTGGGATGGAAATGGGAGTGGGGAAGGGGGGTGTGGGACATCTATGCCACAAAGTGCACCCCTCTGAGCACAACAGCAGCTTTCCTGGGGCCATTGTTGTTATCCCTTATCTCAGAAGCCCATCATGTGCATGGTGCTTTGTGTAGGTCCAGCCACCACTGAGGGGTCACCTGCACTGGGAAATGCACCCTGTACACGGAGGATCAGGGATGTTTCCTTCTTCTGCAGAGGCAGAGCAGCACTGACCCGAAACCCAAAGAGATGTGGCAGGGTGTGCACAGCAGTGTGTGAAGCTGCTGGAAATTTTACCTGCAGATGTAGGAGCCTAATAACGACCCCAAGATGTGAAAATGTGGAACTCCCGGAATGGCCCATTTCGTTTCCTCTGTGAGGCTGTGGCATGCAGAGCCAGACATGAAGTAAGCCAGTCACTCAAACTGGCCAGCATGCTCATCAATCAAGTGTAGTTTAAAGCAAATATTTAACATAAAGGTAATTTAGACTTCATATTCTCATTCTCAGTGTGCTCAGCAGTTGATCTGGTTTGCATAGAAGAGTGTTCTCTTTTGTGCTAAACAGCCTGTCCTGTCAGAAGGAATTGCAAAACTGACCACAGCCCAGATCTGAAGGACATCCTGTGCATTTATCCATCTCTCTGTATATGGCTAAAGTTCTATTGCTAAAACATATAGTGTGGCTGAAATCCTTTGTTAATGCTACTGGCAATCCAGAGGAGACCCCCAGAAGTTAGTAAAATAATGAAATTTATCTGTTATAAGAGCAGATTTAGTTTTTTTTTCATTACCTAAGATAACCAGAGGTGAAATAAAATACAGCCTTTTTCTAGTATTTTACACTGATAACCCCCAGGTTTTGCATTTTCCCTTTTGGAGAAGGTGGAGAGGTCACTCTGGAAAAGGAAGGGTTAATTGAAATTATTCTTCCTTCCCGCACTCAACCCTCTCTTTGGTTGATTGCTTTATAGATGCTGTAGGCATCTCTTCATCTCCTTCAAATTAAACATTTTACTGCTGCTGATCCCGTATAGTTGGATTTTTTTCATCATTATATTTGATTGGAAGTCTTGTAACATTTTTCAAGCTGGATCATTTCTCATGCTATTTGTCAACTGAAAAGGGAAAAAAAAGCCCCCTTCCAACTCCAACAAGAATGAACTGAGTAATTCGCACCCTTTCTGGATGTGTTTCTATCTCTGTTAGATGCTACTTGAATCCAGCTTCTGATTAGCAGTGCTACTTGCAGCTTTCTGTGTGACGCTGTCTGTAAGTTCCCTGGCAGTTTGTTTGTGGTGTTAAATCCTTTGGATTTTGGCTGCTCTGGGCCTTACTTTGTCAGGGGACAGGACCAGAAGCCACAACAGGGGAGACTAGGTAGGGTCTGTGTGACAAAATTATGGGCCTTGGTCCCTGGCTAGAGCCAGCGATCCTGGCTCTGCTGCTTTCAGTGCTCCCTGCTGACGTAGGTACGGATCCCACCCTCATCTGCAACCCTCTGTTTGGAAACGTCAGCCTTTCTCTTTGAAAGCAATCCATGGACAAAAAAGAAATCCTCAAAGAGCAGCTGAGCGATTCCATTCATTGGAACATTATGCTCTTTTATTGCAAGAGATGTAATAAAACATAAACCAGATTATCTGTCATTTCCATTTGAGCTCCCCCTTTTCCCCCGCTCCTTGGTTAGCCATTTCTATGGCACCCTCAGTATTTACGTGCTTGGGAGGAGAATGTACATGCTGGCACGGAAACAAGTTTGTGGTGTTTCTGCCCCGCCTCAGCTCTCGCCCGGGGATGGCAAGTCCTGTGCTGGCACCTGCTCTTGGCTGTCCGTGTGGAGCTGCTCGTTGCTGGGGTGTGCTGCCACTGTCCTGGCACGGCTGTGCCCATGGGGACAGCGGGCAGGATGTGCAGCTGTGTCCCTGCTCCGCCAGCCCTGCTCACGCCCGCTGCTCGCCGGGCACCGGGATGTGGTGCCGGTCCCGCTCCGTGCCCGGGGAGCAGAGCCCGGGCCCGGCACAGCATCCCCCAGGCTCAGCTCTGCACCTGGGCACTGCCACGCCGGTCCCGCTCCGTGCCCGGGGAGCAGAGCCCGGGCCCGGCACAGCATCCCTGGCAGGCTCAGCTCTGCGCCTGGGCACTGCCATCCGCTCCCCAAAAGCTGTGACTGGAGATGGCTGATGTTACAAATGGTTATGGCAGGAACGTCTGATGGAGGAAGGGAGTAAAGGGCTCTTCGGCACAGAGCCTTTTCATTTATTTGCATAACAGGCGGATATTCCACAGTGGACTTCCCTCTTGCGGTAATAACTTGACTAGTGTAGTGTTTTACTGGGGGCTCAGTATGTGTGTAAAATTTTAGTGCAAGTTCTCAGCACATTTCCACTATTTATCTTTGGTTTTGTTTTATTTTTTGTTTAGAGAGCTTTAATGGAGGGTTGATTCTCTGGATGTTGCAGTTTGCAACAAAGACATTTTCTTCTTGGATAAAGAGCCAGAATTCCCTCTTACCTGTGGAAGAAAACAGTTATCCATATTGATTTTGTTAGCTTTGTGTGTTAAGCTCTAATAATTATTTCCCTGCATCTGAAGAAACCTCTGGGCAAATACAGCCCTCAATCCTGTAGGGGATTTTTTCTGTTAATCTCCCTTGTATAGATTTGGTTTTAAAGAAAGCGTATGGAGCTCCTCTGTGTTTTGAACAATTCAGAGCAGGTATTTTTTCCCCTGGAATAAGGGCTGCACGAGGCCCTTTCTTAGTGATTTTAAGTGGCTGTTAGGAAGATTAAGAGCTGCATATGCTTTCTTTAAACTTGCCGAAAAGGAGATACTGTGGGTGAAAATCTGTTACAAGACTGCAAAGTGTGTTTGCCCAGGGGGTGTTTCAGAATGGAGGGCTATTATTATTTGAACTCAGAACTCCTCAACTAGTGAAATTACTATAGAGAAGGTAATACAGAGAAATCTGTTCAGGAGACACATTAAAGCCACCTGTGTCAAGCAACTGAACTGACTGTGCTGCCTCTCTTGCGAGAAGGGAAATCTTAACAAATCTCTGCACTTCTACTTTTTTTTTTGCTTCCATAAAGTAGCTGTGATGGATTTTAATGCAAAATCATTATTCATAAAGTAGCATCTGATAATCCCACATGTGTTTAGGCCTTTGTGGTACTTGAAGCATAAAGTAGCTGTGATGGATTTTAATGCAAAAATCATTATTCATAAAGTAGCACCTGATAATCCCACATGTGTTTAGGCGTTTGTGGTACTTGAAATCTTGAAGAAATGGTCAAAATGTCTAGCCTGAAAAGATGAGAGGAAATAAGGATGGGGAGAAGAGGAACCAAGCAGAATGACTTTTCTGAGATGGGACATCATGACAATGAGACCTTTTGACCTAATTTTTATTTTGGCTATTTTAGATTTCTTTTTATTACTTACATTTTGTATTTCTTACTCATTTTCTGGGTTCTTATTTTATATTGTTTGCCTTTTATATCACTTCCTCCTTTCAGTCTGTAGTTGTACAGACAGGTGTAGCTGTCTTACAGGTGAGAAGGGCAGTGGAAATGCATATTAATTGTACTTTTCTTGACCAATACAAAGTAGGTCCTGTGTACAGACCTGTACCAGTGCCCTTATGTCGAGCACCGAGGGGGTCAGCATGTGAAGTGTGTGTCTGTTTGATCTTATAGGTGCTGCACAGACAGCAGTCCCAGCCTGCCAAGGAGAATTCCCCACCTAGAGAAGAGGCTCCTCCTCCACCTGCTGAGGACAGTTGTGCCAAAAAGCCAAGATCCCGTACCAAGATCTCCTTGGAAGCTCTAGGTATCCTTCAAAGCTTTATTCACGACGTGGGTCTCTATCCCGATCAGGAAGCCATCCACACCCTCTCTGCTCAGCTGGATCTCCCCAAGCACACCATCATCAAATTCTTCCAGAACCAGCGTTACCACGTAAAGCACCACGGGAAGCTAAAAGAGCACCTGGGAACGGTGGTTGACGTGGCAGAGTACAAGGATGAGGAGCTGCTGACGGAGTCGGAGGAGAACGACAGTGAGGAAGGCTCTGAGGAAATGTACAAAGTGGAGGCTGAGGAGGAGAATCCCGACAAAAGCAAGGCGGCTCCAGCAGACATCGACCAGAGATAATGTGAGATAGGAGTGCAGAAAGCAATACATTGATCCAAGGATTTTCTGGTTTTATTTTTGATTTTTTTTCCTCGTTTTACTTTTTGTTTGTTTGTTTCCGTTGCGCATGATCCATGTGCAGACCGAATGAATTCAGCATTGCCCGATCAGACACTCGAGTGTTACACTTTCTACATCTGACTGAAGCAATCGTTGTAGTCACATAGGATTATGCCTTCATCAATCTTGCACTTATGAAAGGGACAGCTAGCAAGTAAATGGGAAGAAAAAGTCCTATGAAATCAGTGAAGGGAAATTTACAACTTTGTGTGTGTATATATATATTTACATAATATATATATATATATATTAAATTGCATGGGACGGAACTTTACAACCTGAAAGTATAGACTGTGAAATGAGTTCTTTAAAGATGAAACTTGTTTATGTTTTAAAACCACTTCACAATGAGTTGCTTTGGCTTTTTGATAAACTGCCGCCTGCTCTCAGGGTGTGGTGACTATTTTTGAATTCCTATTTATTTTCTATGTTTATCCCTGATTTTTTTTTTTTTCATTATTATATGGCTTCCTATCTGGCATCTTGATGGGTAATTTTTGAGGTATTTAAAGACGTAAATCAACACTGCCAAAAAAAGAAAAGAGGAAAAAAAGAGAGAAAATAGAAAAACAAATCAGGGCACCTTAAAAAGAAAACTAGTAAGTTAAAAGTACTTTGAACACAGTGCACACTAAAAAGGATACAGCATGTTCCACTCTCCAGATAGTCCTTTCTGTAGTGAACAGATGAGTTTTCTTGGGATTCAGAATGACTAAAGCTGAAATGCAGTGCATAGAAGACTTGTCCATAAACGAGGTCTTTATAGAAAGAGAAAAAAAGATAAATGTGTTGAGATTTGATGTATGGAATTCATACTATCAACCACATTTTACTGTGGATTTTATTTACCTGTTCTCTGTTTCAGATCTTAAAATTTGTAAGCTTCCTTCTTGTTGTTGCTTTTTGTTTATACTGAAGTGAAACACACACACACACACACACACACACACGTGTAAAGTTACATTGCGACACAGAATGCCACAATCCCGAGAATCCTGGCCAGGTAACTTGCTGACAGCCGAGGGTTCGCGTTGCTGCCGTGCGCTCGCCCTCCCCGCAGCGTGCCCGGTTCCGTGCCAGTGCCATGAAGTGTTTTCAGCCGCAGGGCCCCGTCCCTGCTCGCCCTGCCAGGCCCTGCACTCGCAGCCCGCCCGGGCTCCGCAGCACCAGGTAGCAGCTCCAGAGCAGAGCCCGTCCCCAGTGACTCTTGGATGGCCTGAGCGCAGAGCTGCGATCTGCCATAGCATCCACCCGCTCTGAGGCACCCTGTCGAGAGAGACGCCAAGTAGCATTTACTTTCCACTTCCGTGCAATGATTTCCGAGACAAAGACCTCACCTTGCAGCTGGATTGATTTCAGACGCCTGTAAACTGCAGCCATAACGGTACCAACAAGGCTTCTGGCTTTTTTCTTCCTTTTTTCACATGGGCTTTTCATGTAATCTTGACAAAGACCTCATGCAATATCACTTTGAAAGTTACTTTCTGTTTACTACACCAGGCAATGTAATATAACTGTTAATACTATTTATATATTTGAAAGGTATAAAAGGTAGGAGTTAAAAACGAAAAACAAACCTCTACGTGTAGATATTTACTCAGAACAGACAATATACAGGGAGAAGACGTTGCAATACAAGCTAATTCTAGCTGCTCAGTAACCTCTGGAGTTTTTATGAGATTTTTTCAGAGCTAATGTTTGAAACACGAGTATCTCTGCATAAATTTCATATACCTTTGCAAAATTATGGTGGGTTGCTTACTTATGCCCCTTTTGCTCTTCATCCTTTAGTTCTGTAGTATGCTGCAGCTTTAATCAGAATTTCGATGGTTGCTGCTTTATGTTTCTCTCAGAGCTATGCTTTCAAAACTGTCTTCTTATCCTGTAGCTGAAATCATTCCATACATTTGAAAGGAAACTGAATTTTGCCAAGCTATGTAAGTTGTTCATCTGATGATGGCATCGACATTTGGTATCTTTTACAATTCAACCAAAAATTTTATTAGGTATTTTTTCAATGCTGAGTCTTGCCTTTTTATTTTTAATTTCACTGCCAATTTTGCAGTGGTTCTAAGTGAATCTGTGGGCATTTTAGCCTGTGGTCTTGCCAGAACTTTGCGAATTACAATGCATATATGTCTATTTATTCAATATCCATCATATAATATCTATTTGGAGAAAGAAACTTTTCTTGTAGTGCCTCTTAACAAAGCACAATTTTCCGCCTTTTTTGTGAAATAAAAAATAAAAAAAACAAATTGTGTTTTATTGCGGTATCAACAATGTGAATAAGGATTAACATATTGTAAATGTTCATTTTTCCATGTAAATCAACTTTATCTTCGTTATCACTAAGTGATAATTAATTTTTAACTTATGTGCATTGTTAGGCTGTTAGAATTTTTTGGTTGTTGAAATAAAACGCATTCAATAAATATGACTTAATTTGTCAAGTAATTTACTGGGCCTTTTTTCTTTTCTCCTGAGTTAAAGTGGAACAAGGTCTGCAAGATGGAGGGGGCGTATTTTTGCCTGTTGAAAAAAGGTTTGATCAGCATTATTGGGTCTTGAAAACCTGCAGAAGTCCCCTGGAGCTGGCACAGGTGACAAATGTGTACGACCAGGACTAACCTGTTGTGGTAGTTCTGAGTACTCGTAGGTGCCTGCCCAGGGTGTTCCTGGTGGGGTCAGAAGGAGGGTGGGGGTGCCTTCAGCCTGTCAGAGAACATACTCAAAACACACGCATAAAGATCCATTCCAGTCTGCTGTCTTCTTTCACTGGTAGATTTTTTTTCTGTTTATAATTAAAAAGCCACAAATGACTGCGTGTCAGGAAACTTTTGGAGCACACATGTCCATGGTTAATGGACATAATAAAAGGCTTTATTATATTTATAGCAGGGCATCCTACTGAGTGCGTAGAGGAATGCCGGAAGGATTGATGTATCTGAGAAATGTGTGAAATGTTTTTGGGAAGAATACAGATAAATGGAAAAAATTGCTCAAAATTCTTAAGCTAACAAAGTGGTAAGTATCTGGATTCAATCCTAGCAGACAAATCATATACTGCACGTCAGACTTGAGTTGTCTAGGAATTGAGGTAGAGCAATTTTTAAAGGCATTTTTTATTTTTTCTATAGTTCCAATACAATAGTTCTTCCCTTTTTGGTGCCTTATTTCTATTCTATATAAAATATCTATGTGCTCTCTTGAGGAAAAAATAAGGGGGAGTTTGAGAATAACCACATCTTTGTGTACCCAGCCACCTGCGTGCCACTTGTATTTAATCTGAGGCCAGGTAAAACCCAGCATCTTTCTGTGTGCTGGGGGAGTGTCCAGGCACCTGAAGCTGTGCACAGCAGCCTTTGTGGAGTGCTGTTCGCCGGGGTGCACAGCTGCTGTCCCTGCACTCTGAGGGAGGAGGAGACTCTGAGGGCTCCTGGGCTGCCTGTGCCCTTCCCACGGGAGCGCTGGGCTGGCACAGCCACACTGGTGCCCCGCTCTGCTGCCTCTGCTCTGAGCTCTGGGCAGTCTTTGCCTGGAAGGTGGCACAGGGCTGGGGCTCCGCTGGCCCTTATGGGCATGGGAGGTGACAGAGGGCACAAACTGGCCTTGAAAACTGCTCCTGCAGGTGCTGTGGAGGTGCTGGTGGTGTTGGACTGGGTGTCTGTCCTTTCTGCCTGGCGTTAGGACAAGAAACTAAAGGAGAAGCAGCTCTCACTTCACTGGGAGAGAATTTTATACATCAGCCCTGTGTGTATGTGTAGCTAAATAATATTTAGAGAAAGACACACTCATACACAAATATTTTAATTGGGGGGAAAATTCTTATAAACATATGGGTTCTTCTTCCAAACCGTAAAAAAAAATAACATTTAATAGCTGCTATAGCAGAAATATTTCTATTAATGCTTCTACTTCTCTATACTTTACATGCTGCTGCTCCTATTTGTTGTTCGTGTTTTAGTCATCCAGACATATGTATTTCCAATTTCAAACCTGTGTCAGTGAAAAATAAACATATTAAGATTAGTTTAAAATGTTTTAAGATGATGAACATACTGACTAGTGTCTCAAGTTCATTGTTGCTTAGATAAAAATATCCACTCAATCTCCACTTACTTAATTACCAATTATTTGCTCTGGACTAAATGGATTAAAATCCCTCAATGATGAAATTTTGTTTCTATCCTGAACCTGTTAAACACAGAGGGATAAAAGCTGGATACATCTGACAGTGAGCAAATGGCATCTTAAAATCATAAACGAATCATTACAAAAAATCTCCACTTACAATATAAAGTGCAGTGATTAATTAAAGATGCAGTTTTAACTTATTTATAGCCATTAAAAAAACATACTGGTTTTAACACAAAATAACAGAAGCCAAGTCATCCAGGGGAGAGACACTGGCAGCCTGAGACTTGGGGAGCGGGCAACGTGACAAAGCCAACAGGGAACAGCAAATGCAGGCCACACCCTTGAAACCTTTGGGAAAGTTCACAGAAACAAGGATGGAAAGAGATGGCTCTGGCATCCCTGCCAAGACCCCCTCGTTGCTCGCATACAGACAGTGCAGGAGTGTGAGAGCCCCATGTCTGGGATGGCAGGAACCCGTGTGCTCCCCCCTTGGTGGCAGTGCAGGCGGTGGGGAGCTTGCCAACAGCAGAGCATGCTCGGGTGAGTCAGCCCTACCTCAGGCAAAGAGAGGATTCGGGTGAGGGAAAGACCGCAGCAGTGCAAGTGCACATTTCTGCAGGCTTTCCCCTCCTTCCAAAATTTTTGGTTGTTTTTGGGGAACGCTGGTCCTGCTTGACTGGGAGGGTGGCTCACTGGAGCCAGGGGGAAGGAAGGTGGTGGGAGGCCAAGTGAAGCTCACCTGCTGAGCTGTGAGCTGTGGC